CAGAAAATTACATTTCATATGATAACAGATATAACAACAACTTTGTTTAGATATTTCAATAGATTTTTATAATGATAGTTTTTATTTAAAGTATTTAAAGTTGAAATTATTAATAAAGTGATTTTTGTACATTAAAACTCTCTTGTCGGCTTCAATGGAAATTGTTTTGAAAATAGAGAACCATTCGGATTTGTTTATGTTACAGACGGGAATCAATGAAAATACGTATTCTGGAAATCACTTGAATTATGCACATGAACGAAACGCATAAAAATAGATAGGACTCAATTTCAACATTTTTGTGTCAAGGTCATTGAACTAGTTTAATAACATCTTGTAAATGATGCTTGGGATTGTTTGTAATTGGCCAAATAATGTGTGATAACAATATAGGTGTTTAATAATCATATTAAATTAGTTCTACATTCAAATCTACTTATTTTGGTTAAATGACCTTGCCATCCCACCCGTCCTCGATGTAGCTAGAACTTTTTACAGGCGATTCAATTTAAATGTTCAAAACCACACCAATCCCTTAATCAAAGGTCTTGCGTCAGAAAATAAACCTGGTAACCCCAGGAAAAGATTAAAAAGGCAGTGGTGTCGGGACCTACTAATCTAAAAACTTTTAATTGTAATATAATTGTATTGTAATATAATACTAAACCTATATATTTATGTACATAAGTAACTGTCAAAGTGCCTTTACTGAAAGGTTTCTTTAATCTGTGTTTCACTCAAGCCATTATTCTCTCATCATTTTTACTCATTGTTCTATTCTGTAACAGATTGTAAATTATATAAATAAAAAAAAAAACTTATTTTGAATTATAATTTTACAAATAAAAATATGATTGTATATGAATAATTGCAAGAAATATATTGTACAAAAGAGTACTATAAGAAAAAAAATAATGGTTAAAATTATGTTACATATATTTTTCATAATCATAAATCTTGATTTTCATAGAACCAACTATGAACTACTTAATCATTTTATTGTAAAATCTTTATTTTAGGTTTTAAAATTGTATTTTTTAGTATTCATAATAAAGTTACCAACATACTTAACAACTGAAAAATGGTGTGTGTAAACATTGGCTTTTTTTTGAACTATGTTCATAGTGAAAACATTACTAGTAGCAGCTATAATTTTAATTTTTAATTTATAATTTTCAACATTTATTAACGAGACAAGACTGCAGAGTTCAGCGAAATATAACTTTATCGGCTTTACTTCACCCTATATTATAGAAAAAAATGAAATTATTAATTCTATAAGTTGAAGTTTGATGTAAGTCATACTCGAGAGGCACATCTTAAAGGACTATGTCAATTATAATTTTTCTAAAACTATCTAGTAATATAAAATGTTTTTTATAATTCTTATAAACATATTATATTTTGAGTTTATAATTTATATTTAAAGTCTTGTATTATGGAGAGCTCTCTATCATTCTACCTTTTTTTACCTCTAATCATTTTGAACCCCCAAAACATAACTTATATGTAAATATAAAAATACAATCAGAAATAAAAATAACTAAGGAGAAATGTATATTATTATGCACATCTTATTATTCTCATCCTTTATTAAGGATAGCAATTCTGATTTTAGGAACATACAAACATCAAATCAATAACTTAAAGCCTAATATTTCTTAAAAGAAAAAAAAATTTAATAATAATTATCATTGGCTGAAATACAAAAGAAGAATTAAACTAATCAATAACTTATACTTTCTAACAGATGATATTATTTTAAACATTTAGTGCAAGTATTCCATTGGTATAAAATAAAAAAAAGCCTTTCCACTTAGAATTTATTTTTTTGAACTTCTCAAAAAAAAAAGTGAATTTAAATTATCAGTTATTTTATTTTCTGCCCTAATGATATCGACAATATAGTGATTCACAGTAGTAATTTTAGTAAGCGATTTTGATTCGTCATGAATAATATTGGATTCCTTGAAGGTCTTACTTTTTAGTCTAGAATATTATATTACACTTATGACTTATTGTTTATTTAATAAAAATAATTACACGTTATTTTTACAATTCATAACATTCCTTTCCAGTTTGTTTACAACGGCGACGTATTGTCGACAGGAAAGACTGTAGCATACATATATATGTACTCTATTCCTATGCATTCCGGTTTTGGTTACCTATTCTGCAAATACCGGAAATGTTACTAGATTTACTTGTTCTTTTTCACATTTAATAAAATTATTTTAACTCTAATTTTTTTTTTTGCTGTGTGTATCAATTTACAATAGTGTTTTTAAAATTAATAATTTGAATATTATAAAATAATATCCATAGTCTCTACTACCAGATAATATTTAGTAAAATTTAAACTAGATGAATTGTCAAACGAATAATAGAATATAAAAGATAAATCATCATAATTAAAATACATCAATTTTGTGAAAAGTACAATAGGGTTCTACATTTTTTTTTCGCTTTTATAATAATTTCTTTTATGTTGATAATAATGTAAAATGATTATTATACTTCATTGTTATCTAACTTAAAATCTTGTGAGCTATACGACGTATAAATTAATATTAATTATGTAAATAAATAATAATATTAAATTCAATACATTACAACTTCGGGAAAAATAAATAACTATGAGATTATTGTACAAAAGCTAACATTTAAATGATGGTGTACACTATTTTTATATTTTTGGCATCATTGTGGTGTAAAATTGTGCCAAAATAATGTTACATATCAATTTACTTGACAATTTTTATTAAAATATAAAAGCAATCTACGTAAGCGAATTCACAGAATTCAAATAATATACGAAGATCATTCATTTTTTTTACACAGTATACAATTAAATTTATTCGTAAGGGTATTTAAATACATTTAAAATTGATTCAGTCATTTTCATCGATTACTTATTCATCCATTTTTATACAGGATAATATATGAACTAATGCTTCATAGTAATGACTAGGGCTCGGGAATTCTAGGAATTTGCATATTTTAAAATAATTATCAAAAACATAGCTAAGTAATAAATAAATTTGTTTCATAGCAATACAAGTTTATATTTAAAATGTATAGTTGCATATTTTGCATATTTGACCATTTTTCATTTATAAGTGCATATTTGGCCATTTTTCATTTTATAAATGCATGATTGACAATTACTCATATGAAGGAGTAAGTTTTTAAATTTTATAAAAAAAAATTATGATTTATTTCTTCATATATCACGTGACTTGGAACTCAAGGTGTCTTATTAGTGCACTAACTGAATGCATTAAAATAATTAAAACTACAAAAAACGTATACATTCTGCAAAAATTGAAGAATTTGCACAAGCTAAGGGTAACTACAAAAAATATCGAACATTTTAAATGGAAAAATGAATCTATGGATGGATTGCCTGCAGATATTAGTAGTAGTGACCTACGATTTTTTAAGTTTGCACCATTAAGTTCCGTAGACGTGTAACGTAACGTTCCTTTTCTAAATATAAAATTATTTTGGCTGATAACAGGCAGTCATTTAAATTTTCCAACTTAAGAAAATATCTTATAGTCCAATGTAATGCTCAAGGTTAGAAGAATTGTAACTATATTAAAAATAAAAAAAATGTTTTCAGTTTAATTTATTTTTAAAACCATTTTTAGTCTTTTGTTTTAGATAAAAACTCAATATAAAATAAAAAAAATTTGAAAAAAAGAAAAAATTATCTGAGATTATCATATCTATCATATATAAAAATATTATTATAATTTATTACTAGTTAAATTTTTTTATTTAATTAATTATTACAAATATAATTTTTTTAAATACATATTTTAATAGCATATTCTTTAGGGCATAAATGCATACATATTTTAAGGTTTTTAAGGGCATGAAGTCCCTAGCCCTAGTAATGATAGAAGTTTATATAGCTATTGGAACGGTGTACAACAATTGCTTGATGCTTCTAAAATCTAGATAGGTGACTTATTTTTACTGGAATTGTTTTGGTGATAATTTCAGTTTTCGTATGGATACTCTCAATTTGCCTCCCATAGCATATCCTTATAATACACGTAAATGTATATGCGGAATAATTGGTTAATATAATATTTTTTTATTTTAAAATGCTATGAACGGCATCTGTTTCACAAAACTTTTTGTTGTCGATACAGTTCACCGGACTATGGTTAACCAATTTATATCTAGGTACACCAGCGTTTCTTGAACTTTGTTCAATAATAATAGGTAGATATTCTAATTTATATCAGTCTATACACTTTTATTTGAATCTTGAAATCGATAAAATATACGCAAGGTATTAAGTTTTATTTTTAAAACTTAAGGTACATTATCGACAAGTTTATACACAGAAAATATAAATATACATTATATTAAGCATAAGAATACTAAAAATATTATATGTTTATATTTTTATATCACTACATTTTTTTAATGATTATAAAAATGTAACATAATTGGTCTATTTTACATTATTCAATTTATACTTTTTGTCTACGATTTTTTAATTAAAATGTATTGTTATTGTATAGTGATGGTATAGTAATTGAATATGCTTCGTAAAACTTATGTACCTACCTATATGTACAAATACAATGACTAATTGAAAAGGTTATTTAAGAACAATTTGTACGCACAAATTTTAATTTGACACATTGCAACCATGCAGGTGTGTAAGACTTTGACTATTGTGTACTTCTACGTCAACGACATGAATTTGACATACTACTATGATTTATGACATATTTTCGCGCTATCAAAACGATGTTTATGAATATTAACATCAGGCCGGGCGTCGTCGACAATAATGAACTTAACGTTGTCGGCGCCGCGTTTGTTCCATGAACGATGATGATAACAACGATCCGGATATAGCGATAAGAAAGTGCTGGGGATCAGGGAGTGTATGTGTGCGTGTGCGCGCGCGTATATTTACGTATGTATGTATGTATGTGTGTGTGTGTGTGTGTGTGTGTGTGTGTGTGTGTCTGTTGGTATGTGTGTATGTGTTCGTGCGAGTTTGCATACAAGTATTTGTGTTTAGTATTATACATGCATTTGAGTGGACGGAAAGTGTGTGTCTGTTGTGTGTGTGTATGAGTACGAGGGAGAATAGTGAAACGGATCGTGTAGAGGGTGAGGTAGAAGAAAAAGGGATACACAAGTCGGCTTTGATTCGGTCGTTTTGAATCGCCTTTAAACGCGTGAAATATGATTTATTGAAATCCCGTTCGCTGTGAACATATGCATCGATTTTAATATTATTTACCATAAGCAACTCCACCACCGTCTCGTAACAGGCACGTGAAAATAAGAAGTTTTCTTTATCTGCGGCGAGTTTGTGTGCGCGTGTGTGTATTTGTGATTTTATATCGTTATCCGTTCATTGTCGACCACTACCGTTCAACATCACTTCCGAGTATCTGAGGGAACGCCGCTGCCACCAAATCTGGTCAGCCTTCGTTTCTCGCTCATTTGCACACATTATTTGGCAGCCAACATAACATGATGACCGCCGTGGCCGTCGACTTTAACATAATCGTTGGAATGCATGTTTTGTAGATGCTACTGCAAAAGGTCATTGTATAGGTTCCTTTTGTACATAAATCATTCATACCAGGTGAGAAGATCATACATAGTACAATAATTGACATTATAGTTTGAATTGCATATTGAAATATTACCTCATGTGTATCACAACTGGTGTACAATTTAATCATTCTTATATATGTACAATCAAATGAACAAGCGATAGGCATGCTGTAATAAGCGACATGGGGTGGTCAGTTTTATCAAAAAATCAATAGTGACACTTACCTACCTACCATTACTACATTATATTACCTATTATAGTTGATTATAGTTATTTGTATTTCAGCTAAAATATGTTCAACATCGTTTAGACATTATCAAAATCCATCCACTATTCTTAATATTGTTGAGCCCTATTTACTGGTTGAGTGATTTTTATAGCATTAACATATCAATGTATGGGCTAAGCAGAACATTTTTAACAGGTGTAAATTTAAAGGTCATGAAAGTGTTTTTGTAGACTAAATTTATTTTTCTGATTCTAATTAATGTATTTAGTTAAAACTACAGTTATCAGTCTATGCATAGCTATTAGCGAACAATATTAGTAATTACTGATACCTTGTTACTTTTTATTGATGTATAATTATTTTATTTCAATATAATATGAATAGTTCATACAGATTTTATTCAATCTAATAATTTAACTAGTTAAGTAAAAGACCCTTATTTTTAATTTTTGATTTTTTAAGAATTTTATTGTAATTGTTTAAATAATCTTCTTATCTTAGGTGTAGATTTATTATATTGCATACATTTATTAGATTTTTATTCTTAATTCATGTGATCTATTGCCTATGAACAATATAACAATATTTTATTTTAACTTCTTTATATAGTAAATACACCCGTAAATACGTGTAATTATCCAATATACTTAAAAGTTTTAAATTAGCTTTATTATGGAGAGGCATCTTAGCATTAACATTAATTATTTAAATTATATGTATCATCTTATTTACTAAATTGAATAGCATTTGATTTATTGATTGCAATATTTAAGTCAATTTAGTTAAAATGTTTCTTAAAAGTATGTAATTAATAATAATTAACTTATAATTTAGATAATATTTTTAGTTGTTAATAATGTAGTAATAGTTTTTTAAATTGAAATTAGTGATGATTGTATTAATAAGTAATTAAAATATTATTTTACTAAAACAAATAATTCACTATTTAATACTTATAGCAGGGGTGGGTATCTGGCGGCCTGCGGGCCGCAACTGGTCCACAAGCCTTTTTTATCTGGCCCGTGCTATATTTTAAAATGACATCATACAATTTTAAAGTTTATTGTCTATACTCTAACTTATCGATATCAAATTATTATCTAAATGAAAAATCTAAATCTAAATTTTATTCGTATCGTGCTGTCGTGTGTGTTGAATTTATTATTTCTGTATATATAAATGCTAATTAAAATTCATATTTTAAATGATTTCTTTTTTTCTATGCTCTGGCCCGCTAGATTTTAATTTTCTAAAAATTGGCCCTCTAGTAACTTTCAGTTGCCTATCTCTGACTTATAGGATGGTTGTTTGTTCTAATTATATTTCAATCAAATAATTGAAATAATATTTTAAATTGGTATTTAAAAGTGTATACTTTGAAGTTATAAGAATTAATTTTATTATTAATTTATTGTTTGTGTATATCAATTTTATTAAGTACAGTAAAATAATATATATATATTATTTATGAATACTATTAATGATACCTTTGATGATATTTACCATATAATTCATTTATGTTTAAATACTTGCATTACAATTACATTTCAAACTAAAATACCTATGTTATACTTTATTAATACATAATTTATGCAATTTATACAAAAACTAATTGATCATATCTATTTGAATGTAAGTCTTTACATTGTTAATTGAATAATATATATTAAATATGTATATTATATTCCATAGTTACCAGTCATTGTTGATAAAAGTAACCAATAATATTTAATAGTTTTATGCATAATATACAATAATATCTAATAACTTTATTTTTTTCTTTCCTTGATATAACTGAAATATTTAATTTATATTTTTTGATGGAAAATAGAAAAATTATGTCAAAAATTAAAATTTTTATAAAAAAGTCAATATTTTCATCATTAGGGAGTTACTGTTATGAAGTCTAGTATTTTGTAGTATCTGTAATACTTTTGTTTAATCATAACTTAGAGCTGAAGTTAAGGGTGACAATGACTTGTGTAATCCTTAGCGCTCCAGCCATCATTTTTGAACGAGTGGTAAATTTTTATGAAATCTAATATAATTATATTTTTGTTAATGTTCAATATTTATTTGTGTTAAATGTTTAAAAACATTTGTCACTATACATTTTACAAAATAATATTAAAAATTTTGTGTTCATTTTTTTTAATAAAAGGTGGATAAGTCTAATAATAGTCTTACTTTTTAGAAATATAAAATTAAATTTATCTAACTATTTTTTTTTTTGTCTTGTGCATTTCTATAGAAAATAATTATATTATGAAATAAGGGTTAGTCGAGGGGTTAGTTCTTATACATATTAATATTTAATTATTAAATTAATATAATCATTATGTTATCATAACTAAATGCATATAGTAATGTATACATGTATACATATGGAAGACTATGAAGAAAGAAGTTTTTACCCAGCACTTGTAATCTACCTAATTTAAATTTTAAATTTAAATAGTTATTGTCATATAGGCATCTAAAAAATAAAATATCAATTTATAACACAATTATTTATCTGCAATGTATATATACCACAACATTTATCAAAATAGAAATGGTGTATTTAAAGGAAGCATAAACCCCTAGAATCTTTTTCGGTATACAATATACTTAATATTATTATTAACTAATAAGAATAAATAAAGTTGCTAAAAACAACTTAATTATATGTAATTTTTTCATAAGTTTTAAGTCAAATCACTTTATAGTTAATTAAATAAAGTAATTAATAACTACGTTTCTTCCATAATGGAAAAAAAAATCTGCATCTACGTATTTCTGTAAATTACTCAGACCTTTGACTAAAAATGGTACACAGACTTACTTAATAAACTGAAATCATCCTAACTTGCACTTATTATTTATTCAATTAAGTATTAAGATGTTGGTGGGTTTTGTAGTCTGAGTGGAATAAAGTGGTTGTGCCTATGAGAACATGTCGTTTAGAACCTTGGCATCAGCTTGGCGGTTTCATTATTTGTGCAGGAGACAACTATAACTTGATGTACGCATACAGCTTAGTTCCCAAGTTGTTTATAGTATTTTTTTTCGAATTGTGTGTTTTGCGTGTATATTCAAATGTCACTTTCATAAAAAAAAAAAAATTTCGAAATTCCCTAAGAAGTTATAGTCAATAAATGTATTGCCAAATCAGGTATACATATGAGTAAAACACATTATACGTGTTTAACATGTAAGGTATAATTTAAATGTACATATAATTAAAACTAATCCGCAAATTTACTTGCTTTGAAATGTGAGAACGTTTCGGTTTGATAATTTTCAGTTGTATATACATTAACAAAGCAACCACCCTAACTTGTTTCGATTGTTCGGTGATGGACTCGCTGTGCAAGTCTAACCAAATCAATAACAACCCTCGATTTGTTATGAAAAACTACTTTGGGTGTAATAAGTTAGGTTTATACCACAAAAAGTAAGTATGATGGGAAATATTTAATTTTACCGAAATATCGAACATAAAAAACTCACGTTTTAAAAAAAATATTCAACAATTTAAGAGCATTTTGAAGTTTTTTGACCATAACTTATATAGGAAGTTCGACCGAATTTTTTTGAAAATATCATCAGATTTCACATACAAAAACATAAAGTTTGAAAATTATATTGCTAAAAATAGCTTGAGGCTAAAATGCATTTTTACCTAACTCGAAAAAGGAGAGACCACCGACTATTATATATAATTTATTGTAGTAATAGAGATTATTTAAAATTAAATATTATTAGGCACAGATATATTAAAAATTTTATTATAAGAATATTATTGTGTATTATTTAAAATGTATTGATGTAAGATATTATTTTTAAAATAGGTTTGTATATTTAAAACATTAGAATTATTTTTTCTTCATTTCATTGTTTATGCATGTATGCATTACTCTACTATAACTAAATTAATGTAAATGTTATTTTGAGTATTTAATATTTCTAAATCTGTATTGATATTAAAATATATATTATGGTTATTTTCTAAAACATATTTAGCGAAATTTGAATCAGGGAAAGTCTTTTTTAATTATATTTCAGAAATATCAGACTTATATAAAATTAATTAAAATTACCTTTAATTTTATGTATAGCAGTTTTTTATATTAAAATTTGAATTTTCAATTTGAAACAAGGTGTACTTACAAATATATTAATACTCCAGACTAAGCATTTATTTATTAATCATTTATTAATTTTTATTGTTTTATTACTTATTAAAACATATTCACAATAAATCCATTTTTTGTCATATTTGTAAAAAATCTTTAACATTAAACCATTGGATTTAATTCTCAGCAAATTTATATCATTCTATAACATTTCTCGCTTTTTTTTATATTAGGCTGTATATTAATTGATAAATAATTAAATTATATTTACCAAGGTTCTATGTTTAAATAAAATTCATATTGGGCATTAATCTGTTATGTGCTGATTTTATTTAAACAGAAATACACTACACAAGATTATACTATATGCAAAACTAGCTGTCTCATTTAAAATGTAATGACTGTCAAGGTTATAACCTAGTCAATTTTAAATTTAAATTTGGAAACAATAATATTTACACTTTATTTTTCATTTATTATTGTATTAAATGCATACACCAGATGACTAAACAATCAAATATTTAATTTATTTTTAGTTAATTGAAACTTTATTTAATAATAAGTATTTATATGATTTTTAAACATTGAAACAAAATTTTAGTGTTAAGCCTTAACTATCTTGTTTTCATTTTTTCATTATTTACTTGAGTTATTTTGACAGAATTGAATTTAAATTCTTA